GTGCCAAAAATCTGCTATAGAACATTCCTTTAAGGCAGTGTTGACAAGTCTTTCCAAACCAGGTGGTGGCGAGTTTGGAAGGTACTACAGCTTGCCTGCCCTGAATGATCCAAGGATTGATAAACTGCCATACTCTATTAGAATCTTGCTTGAATCTGCGGTTCGTAACTGCGAAAACTTCCACGATTTCACTGGAGTGCTTGCTGAGGTTGACCTTGCTTGTATGCGTAATGCAATGCACAAACTTGACAGTGATACAATTAATCCTATGGTTACTGTAGATATTGTCATTGACCATTCAGTTCAAGTTGATGTAACCAGATCAGAAAATGCAGTGCAAGCAAACATGGAACTTGAGTTTCAGAGTAACAAGGAAAGATTTTTTTTCCTTAAGTTGGGATCTACTGGCTTTCATAAAATGCTTGTTGTTCCTCCTGGTTCTAGTATTGTGCATCAAGTTAATCTTGAATATATCGGGCGGGTTGTTTTCAACACCAACGGAATGTTGTACCCCGATAATGTGGTTGGAACTGATTCCCATACAACTTTGATAGATGGTCTTGGAGTAGCTGGTTGGGGAGTTGGTGGTATTAAAGCTGAGGCAGCCATGCTTGGTCAGCCTATGAGCATGGTTTTACTTGGTGTTGTTCGATTAAAGTTATTTGGAAAATTAAGAAATGGTGTGACATCTACTAACTTGATTATAACCGTGACACAAATACTGAGGAAGCATGGTGTTGTTGGCAAATTCGTTGAGTTTTATGGGGACAAGTTAGAGTATTTAAATGTTACTGATTTTCAGCTTTTAAAGGAAGCTGTTGATCTTGACATCCGTGTCCAAATTGATAAAGACAGTGGGATAATAACAATTATTGATTCAGGCTTGGGTATGACAAAACAAGAACTTGTTGATTGTCTTGGAACAATTAAACATGGTGGAACTGCTAAGTTCTTGAAGGCTGTGAAGGAAAGCAAAGATGCTGGTACAAACAACAATTTGATCAGTCAGTTTGGAGTTGATTTCTATTCAGCATATTTGGTTTCTGACAAGGTAGTTGTTTCAACAAAGAGTCCGAAATCATACGTACGGGAAGGAGAAGTAAATGAAAGCTCCTATTCTATTTGGGAGGAGACAACTCCAGAATGGCCTCAAAAGCTTGTGAAGAATTATTCACAAATTGTTTCTTTCCAAATTTATACATGGCAGGAAAAGGGAATCAATAAAGAGGTCAAAGTTGATGGGGACCCAGTTGAAGCTAAAAAGTCTGGTCAAGATGAAAACATTGAGAAAAAGAAGAAAACAAAGAAGGTTGTGGAGAACTACGGGGATTGGGAGCTTACAAATGAAACTCAACCTATTGGGAATATGCTTACTCATCTATTGGACTATGTGGGTGTATTACGTCGGAATATTATGGATTTAAGGATATATACTCTAGGGTGGAAGAATATTTTAGTGGCTATGAAGGATCAACTCTCCTTAGTTGGTATAGAGAAATTATTGACAGAAAAATTATTCTTTCAATGTGGCTAATGCTAAAACTTATGAGGTTACTGTTGCAGATTATAACAGTCGTTTTTTATTTGGGTACACATCAGTTCGATCAGATTTGGTTGTTGGAGAACTTAGAATGTTTGAACCAATTGGAAATTTTTTCCTTGAACTTCAACTGGTGGAGATAATTGCTCTTATCGGAAGGGAAATAGAAGGTGCTGAACTAACTGTTGTGGCAGTGATTCTAACAGTTGAAACCCAACAATGGGTTTGGGGCAAATATAAGAAGTATGTGGGGTCTAAGTTTGGGTCTATTAAGCTGCCAATCCAAGGACCATGCCTAGCTATTGGGTCTCTACCCCTTCATTTTGATGATATTCGAGTTGGGCAACTTGTTACCTTGAAACGAAGAAATGAGAGGCTAAAAGATATACGGAAGAGCATAGTTTCACAAAACAATGATGCGGTGTTGTATGAAGTGAGTGTGAATCCAGATAAACCACCTACTCTGCTATGGTGTTTAGAATTAACAGTGTATAAGGTCCCAGATATGTTGCAAAACAGAATTAAACAACATGCTGATAGAAATCGAAGTGAAAGACAGTTTCAATTCGAAGAAGAAGTATACCTAAATTTGCAGCTCTACAGGCAGACATCCATTGCCCTGCGAAGGAAATTGAAGTTAGTAGTGAAATTTTATGGACCTTATGGAATTCTGGAAAAAATAGGAACAATAGCCTATCGGTTGGACTTATCAGATTCCTCTCGCTTGCATCCAGTATTCCATGTGAGCCTCTTGAAGAAGTTCATAGGCGATTCATCCACTGCTGTCACCAAGCCTCCAACAGTTGATGAAAAAGGGCTGTTACAAATCAAAACCTTAAAGATTATGGGCAGAAGGATTGTAAACAGAAATGGCAAAACTGTGACTCAACTTTTGGGTCGCTGGGAGAATCTCGATGAAGAGTATGACACTGGGGAGGATTATTCGACTCTAAAGGGACAGTTTACTGCGTTTGATCCTTGGGGACAAGGCTCGTCTCGAGGGGTGGGTATTGTCATGGTCGGAGGAGAAGAGGAAGAACGAAGGAACGAGGAGGATTTGGGAATAGAGGAACGAGGGTTAGGGATTGAGGAGAGTAATTTGGGAATTGAAATCAGAAAAGGGTCTGAAGCACGAGGGAGTCATGTGTCTCACCTATCTGATGGGTTGGAGCAGACTAAGGAGTACCAGACGAGATGGAGTGGCCCTATCAAGATGGCCCAATACCTGCAGCACCAAAAGAAGGATAAGAAGCAGTTGGTTAAGCATTCTGTTAGTACAGAATGCCAGCTGGAATTGTTAGATTTCCCGTACTAGCTAGTAACTAAATAAATACCTGCTGTGTAATCAACATTTCCCTTATGAAATGAATGATGAACTTTCCTTTTCTCTAAATTCTCTCTTCTTCTATCATCTCTATTCTCGTAATCTTCTCTATTTCTCTTCAATCCATAACAATAAGCTGCAACCACTGTGTTCGGTATCCATCATTAACTATTTGTGTGCACCAATGCTCTGAATAAATCTGCTTCTCGGGCTATCACTTTGTTGATATATTTGAGATTATATTAGCTTGCTATCAGCAAATATTGTTGATATATTTATAGATGATAATAGCATGCTATCAGTGCCTGTTCTTACCATTAGTTGATTAATATCTACGTTGCTATACGCTGGTGATGTACACACGTACACCCCCACCCATTAGATCCTGGTTGAACTTGTTTATCCTTTTTAGAGATATTCAACATTTAAGCATCTGCCTTTATTACTTATGGTAAGATACATGCAGTCCTTCCGTTTGCTTTTTCCCTAACTTCTTGTTCATATGGTATGTTATAAGTTCTTTTTATTTATTATTGTTAACAATGGGCTTTATCTAGCTCATATTGCAATGAGTTTGTGTACGAGTTTTTGTTTAATAATTGGGGGGTAATAAATGGTATATACTTGATTTTTTACTTAACATTTCTAATTGATTCGAATGTGATTGCATGAGATGTTTGATGTTCTAATTTTGCTAGATAATTTTTTGCTTTTCTTTTTGGAAACTTAACGCTATCATTGTTCCATGAAGATTCTCTTAAATTTAATGCTATATAGGATGATAGTATCACCAAACCTCTGTAAAAGGTCCCACCCTCCCTACATAGGGATGAATATTCTCATTTCTAACTCTCCACCCTAATCTTACTAGAAAACCTTAATATTTGCTTATAGTCTACACTTCTCTTTTGCATACGTGTTGCTTCTTGTTAACCAACGTTCGGTATCGTATAGAGTAGTAGGTTTGTTAGCCACGTATTGTACTTTTCACTTTAAGTAACCCAACATTGGTACCTTTTTTGTTCAAAAGATTATAACCCAACCTTGATCCTATGAGTAACATTTCCATTAGTCTCTATACTTTCTAAATCATCGCCCCAAGTTACTTAAAGCACTCTGCTACTACCATCACGTACCAGTTTAGTGTAATCAAGTCTTGAACACTATCCTTATATTACAAAATGTTCACATCGTTTACGTGGTTTTGTTCTGCACAATCTACACACTGAGCTTTAGTGCTTGTCTCAATGAATCTGATTTTATATTAAACCCTTCTGTTTCACCAGCTAATACAATATCATCTGCAGATAGCATACACAGAAGTATTTCATCTTGAATTTCTTTCGTCATCTTATCCATTACTCTAGCAAAAGGAAAAGGAATTGATGTCGATCTATGTTGTACCCGTATTGTAATTGGCAATTCATCTTTTAATAAACCACTGGTTCTAATCTTCATTATTACATCTTCATACATACCTCGTTACACTTTTTTATGTAGCTTGTTCTTGTTCAAAACATATCAAAGGATGCCTCGAAGTACTCTCATAAATATCTTCTAAATAACAAGTTCTTATGTTTGTCATCATGCATACCCTATCATACGTGCATATTTGAGATGGGTTGTATTCTTGTCCAATGCTCATAAAAAATTTCTCTAGGTACTTCTATCATAAGTTTTCTCCTTGTAGATAAAAATCACTTGTAGTGAGTGATCTACTGTGTCATCCTTTGGGTGTCAAACTTTTGTGATTATCTCCTCGTTTCTTTCCAGGTCAGGTAGTGAGTGAACATCACTTCTAGGCATTCTGCCTTTTTGTTGAATAGCAAAAGCGCCTTAGGCAAGGCACATTTGATTTGGTGCACCCCTATGCATGCTTTTTTTGTGAGGCAATAACCATAAAACTGTCTGCATGATTGAAGTTCTTGCTATTTTTCGCACATACGAAGTAGCACACTTCACTCAGAAAAGTGGTTTTTTTTTTTGCACCTTTTGCCTTGGGCAATATTAGGGTTCAAGTGTCAATAGTGTCTTGTGCTCTTGAAAACAATGGTTCAGAAGCTTAGCTGTTGGATAAGCTGGTATTATGATTTTTCTTGTCTGAAAGCATATATTATTAAAGCTTCCCTTTTTCAGGTTGCACTATTGACAGATAATATTCAGCTAATAACAGATGCTCTGCAAAGTTCAACAGTTGTTGAAGTGCAGGTACGATCTATATTGATAATCCTGGGATATATTGATCAATAATGAAATGCTGGTCATGTTGACCATCAAGACATGCATGCCTCTTATTGTTGATGCTTAACTGATTATTTTGTTAGGACATATATTTAGACTGGTATCTTGATCACCTTCACTTTCACATTTTAGGGTGATAAGGTAAGGAAGAGGAATGATTGGATGCGGTGGATAATGCCACCTTCTGTTCAATTCCCTATCATATCTGGTCAAGAAACGCTGGCGGCTCGTGTTCAGAATATTTCACTGGAACAGAGAAATACAAACCAGAGTGGTGCAAGGAGCCAAGAAGATTCCAATGCTGGTGGACTATCAGATAGACCATCATTTGTGCACTTCGTTAATCAACCACAGCTATTCAACAGCGGGGGTGCTCAAGGTGGTCTAGCAAATAATTCAAATTAAGCAAAAATGTTCCGATGCTAGAGGTCCTGGAAGAATATAGTAGAGAATGATTTCGACACCATGGGGTCATCATTATGCCTTTGCTGCCTTGTTGCGGTGAAATGCAATTTCTCGTACAGCAAATTAGAGAAAAACCTTTACAAGAAGAAAAGGGAAACACCTTTTGGAAAAGGGGGGGAAAGAGTGAACCGACAGACTTGAGGTAGTAGCACGAACTTATCGTGACTTATCAAAATGTTTTCTTTTGGTTTCTCTGAGGATGCTGGATTTTTTTCCCTTTACTATTTGGTGTTGGTGTTTAAATCCTGGGGATTTCTTTTTTATTTTTCTTTTGAAAAAGAAAGAAACATTTGGGGTGGTTTTGATACCCTTGGTTTGCAAGTGGTATGAAAAACAACTCATTTCAATGCCTGCATAATTGTGGCGCTGCAAGTTGAATGGCCTATGCAGCTGCAGCTACTACTGCTATTCATGCCTACTACCAATGCTTTTTCTCTTTCTTTTCGAGGCGCATGTCATTTTTACGAAGAAGTGCACTTTAAATTATATATGTACTTATTTATAGTACTACTATTATCATATTTACTACCTTGGTTTTAAAAAAGCGTAAAGCGCCCTAAAGCGTCTAGGGTCTTAGACGTCGAAGCGCTAAGCGAAAGCGCTCATTTTATGCACAAGAAGCGTCAGAAAGGTCGAAATTCATAAAAAAATATAAAATATTTATAAATTATCTTATAAATATTTAAATATCAAAGTGTCAATACATATATTCAAAACTTATAAGTATTTAAACACCAAAATATAATTCTCAATTTACTTATAACTTATAAGTTATAAACACTTAAATACTTATATACGATTAACCATACGACTATACGAGCATAGTAATCTCAAAAGATGGTCTACTAAAAGTAATCTAAAGTGAGATGAACAAAAGTATTTTTCTAAACCCTCAATTCCTTATAACTAAAAATCCTCTAAATCGTCATCGTCATCAACTCGGACAACACCATCTCCTTCATCACTAGACACTCCAATATCTTCTTCCATCTCATCTTCATCAACTAAGCATCTACGAGATGGTCTACTAGAGATAGGATTATGAGCAGGAGATTTTCCTTTATCATTTCTCGATGGTCCGGCTCCATCATTCACTACTTTTGATGCTCTAGTTAGATAACTAGGCTCATATGCACCGGAAGCGTTAGCAACATCACTCTATGTCAAATCCTCACCAACAAACACCGCCTCATCATCATCTTCATCTTCTTCCATTCTTCCCATCAACCACTCATTGCTCTCATCAATATCTTGTAAAAGAATGGGATCGGTCTCCTTACTTTTAGCTCGGCGCTCCAAGGCATGATTGAATTTCACAAACACCATGTCATTCAATCTAGATTGTGCCAATCTATTTCGTTTCTTAGTGTGAAGCTACAAGAAAAAAAACCAAAACTGATAATTTAATAGCCCGCTAAACCCTAAATAAGCTCAAAAATCGTATCTGCTAAAGCCCAGAATCGTATCTTCTAAACTCGCGATTAAGCGCCGATTAGTGCTTTGCTAAAAGCGCTGCAAAAGCGCGATTACTACCGCTTAATGAATTCGTAATGCTTTTGCTATGCTGAAGCGCCAGGGGCCTCGCTCGAGTCGCTTAGCGCTTTAATCGCGCTTAAGCGGCGCTTTTTTAAACTAAGTTTACTACTATCTTTTGCTTAATAAAGCCTATCCTTTGTTTGTGGGACAAACCTTTGAAAACAACCATCCCACAGCTGGATCTTGTTGTCATGTATGATTCTATGTTTTGAAGCTTTGATAGGCTTTCACAAAAATATTAGTTTCATTATTAATTATAGGTAGATTTTTTCTTATGTTCCCATTTTCCCTTGGACTTGCATTTAACAAAGCATCAATTCACGTAGTAGATTATGTGGTGGCTAGACTATGATGTACGGTTAGCCTCACATAACTGCTATTTAACCCACCGCAGAAACTGCAGGAAGAGTGAAAAATGTTAAGACTTGATCAGCTATAAAGTATCCAAGTATTTTTTTTAAGTACCGATATTCGGTCTATTGATCTATTATTTTGGATATAGTTTTGCAAAGACTCATTATGAGGTGATCTCTTAACTCAATTTGTTTCATTCGTTAATGTCAGGATTTGAACTTCTGACATTGTTTAAGTAATCAATCTAAATCCTTTTTTTAGCATCAATAGTTGGTGATATGGACAATGAATAATATGATGATATGTTGTTTTTATGAGAAAAAAAAGGTACCTTTATGTTATGTTTAAATGAGTTATGAAACAGACAAATTGATTATTGAAAAAGTTGGGGCTTGGTAGGATCATATTTATTCCTTTAGGGACGAGTGTAATGGTTTTTATCTGGGAAAAGAAGACATGAATTACTTAGGCAAGATTTACCCGATTTGTGTGGGGATGGCAGATATGGCTAGAACACAAGAAGAGATGGACAACAGTTAGGGTCGACCTGGAAGTGGCTGAAGGCACGTGAAACAACAGCCCCATTGATATGGAAAAAAATGTTTAAACGTTTGGTACTCGGTTCCCATTCACAGGTTCTCTCCTTTCCTTTCGGGTTATTTGTCTATACTACTGTTTCAGGACCCACACAATTTCACCGTCTCGTTGTATGAGCCTTTTGTTGTTCAATGGGAACAACCAACGGTTAATCATTCATTCCACCGGGACAATTACCCTTCACCAGAATAAGATTCAGAATATGATTGATAACCTCTCTGTTCTCTCTCTAGGAACTCAAATTCAGAATGCAGTAGACCAGTCTCCATCAAATCCAGACTCCACCCCCATACCATTCAAATCTCAACATTTATGTACTTAAAATCGTGCTGGATTCAATATTTCCTATTACTTTAACATTGTTGTACTTGATATTACAACTACTCAACCAAGTCTTTCATCTCAAAAAATGGCTTTGGACACCCTAATTTCAACTCATTTATGCTTGTAGTTGGAATGCAGACAAAGTTGTAGTTGGCTTGTTGGTGAGGGCAATGCATGGCAGGGATGCTGCTGCTGCTGCTGGGTATGGTGTAGGAGTAAGTTTTTTTTTTTGCTTTCCCACTTCGTTGTTGCAGCAGCCGGTACATCTTATGAAAGATGGTGAAAAGAGATTGCAACAGTCGACAGCTCCACTTAATACGTACCTCTTCACCAACTATGTTAATGAACATGCAATGTGTTTCAATCCATGTAATTTAATGAACAGATTAAACTGGAGAGATGGTGTTGATTTTCAGTATCTTTTTTCTGGTCAATTATTTTCACCACTAGCATACGTCAATTTCACGCCTAGTGAAAGGAACTTCATCAGAAATGTTGGTAAATGGCCATTAAAAACAGTCTGGTTTAAAAGGTTTTCAAGTCTAAGATTGACCCACAAAGTAGACTGCGAATGAGTCATTACATTTTTCCTCGAGGCTCTAAGCTTTTGCAGATAATGATGGGATGTGACATTTTCTTTTCTTTTTTTCTTTTTTTCCATTCAAGTTCGATGATTTTGTGTTGAAATATATTCCATAAATAAATAATGAGATAGAAAGAAATAGAGGAGGGCATGGGGAGTGGGATGGTTTGAAGGAGAAGAAAGGGATTAAATCCCTGAGAAGTCAGTGGAGAGACTGCAAGTGGAAGGGCATATTATCCTATGAATAAAACAGGTGGCTCAGAGAGTTAGAGAATCTCTTCAGAAACTGATCATGGCCATGATGACGAAGATGAATCATCAAATCTTAACGCATTCTTTAACGGCGGCAATATGTATAACACTAGTACTACAACTCTACACTACTGCTCATCTTTTGTTTCTTGATAGTTATTGGTATTTAAATGTAATTATTTATAATGTCATAAAGTTAATTGGTTTCAAATTAAATAACTCTCTCTAATTACGTATTATATACATATTTTTTATATTCATTTTTATAAGTGTAAGTGAGATATATTGTTATTTAATAAATCAAATATCAACTAAAATTATATAATGTCATTTTTAAAGAGTGTAATTTGAGAATAAAGTATTAATGAGGATATCGAAGGAGTTCAAGAATTGATGGTAAGAAAGAATTTGTAAAGAGTTACAATCGAACGACGAAATTGAATAAATCATAAAGTTGATGGTGTAACATCCTCAATACCTGGTTAATGACTAAATTGTAAAATTTCAGAAATTGGTTATAAAAGTAGAATAGTTGAATAGTTCAATGATTTATGTGATGATATTTTTGAAAGTTGTTAGTAATTAATAAAGGAATTAAATGGCAAAATGGTCATTTAACATTATTTTTTATTTCCCTTATAAGATAAGGGAAACACACGTGGAATCCATTTCTTTAGGAAATGAACTTCCACACAATTCTCTCATCTTCTTCTCTTCTCCACCGTGAAGTATACAAGCAAAGGTGAGTTTCTTAATTAGTTGATTATTTGTTGAATTAAAGGTTGGGTTATGATCATTAGATGGTAACTAAGCTCAAGGAAAGCTTAAGTTATCTTAAAATCAAAAGATAAATGAGTTAGGGAAGATTAAAGATTTGAAGTTCTTGAGTGAAATCTTGAAATAGAGTTCATAATTAAAATTGGAAGTTGGATTTGACTTGTCATCAACCTAAGTAAGAATTATTAAGTGTTAGAATTGAATTTAGAACATGTTAAAAAATTGGGTATGATTCTTGAAGTTCATAAAGAGGAGAGAATATTTAGGTTAAAGATGAGATAAATGGATATAAATGAGTTTAAGTATGTGTATGTGAGTTTAGTGGTATGAAAGGAGTTTTATATGAGGAGATTTGGGTGAAGTATTGATGAATTTCGGGTGAAAATAGCTTATTTTGGATAGGTGCATCGATACATTATGAATGGGTACCGATGCACTAAGTTTGAAGGTGCATCGATGCATGGAAATTTCAAAGCTATTTTGGGTACCGATGCACCCATAGTGCATCGGTACACTCCTAAAGGAAAAGTTGAAGTTTGTTTATTAAATTAGCCTGAGTTATTAATATCAAGTTATAAGGTTTAGGCTTATGATAATCGTCTCAGAAATTATGTTTATGTAGATATTGAGCCTAATCGAGTTCCGGAACCAGTGACAAGTAAGATTGATCGAGGGAAAGGCAAGGAAATATAGGTGAGTGCAATTTAATTTGTACTTGTGTTATTGATCAAAAATTAGCTTGCGATGAGCCAATGATGGAGTTACTACGGTAAGAAGTAACTTCTAAAATGTTATGCGATGCTTATGTGTGCATGAATAGATGAGTACATGGAAATAGGTATATGTGATATGTGATACTGAATTACATGAATTAAGGAAAATATGACATAAGTTATCTGGCGTTGATACACGAAATATATGTAAGTATATACATGAATACATGTAGAAGTTTATATGCTATGTGATTATATGCACATGTGATACACGTTATAGTATATGAAATAAATGTTTACACATGTATATGGTATGCGACAGAAGAAAAAAATGTGATTAAAAGATCAATGATTACACGTACATGTGATACGTGACAGAAAAGAGATATGTGTTTATAAGAAAAATGATATGAATAAGTGATGTGAACTGTTATAAATGATAATGCCCATGTTATGTGATATGAGAGCTAGGGGTATAGTTGGCATGCCAAGGGTCGAGGGTTTACCTATGTTCTTTGGGACATATGGATTGTTTACCTATGTTCTTTGGGACATATGTACTGTTTACCTAGGTTCTTCGGAATCTATGGACTGGTCTTTCGAGACATTTATACGAGCTGTGGTGACAGCATAATTGTGCACAACCTCAATGTACTCACATACATTAAGTTCTCAAAAGTATACATGGGCTAATACATGGTCTTTAAAGATAGTAAATAAATCAATTGATATGATACTATGTGTACTATGTTGTGAAATGATATATGTGTTCCATGATATGTATAGAAATGTTCAGTATATACTTATATGATATAAAGGCATCAATGATAGTAATATAAGTACTGATAAGTATATTAATGGGCTTACAAAAGGTATCAAAAGTGTTTGCATTATCATATGTTATTATGCTGTTATTATTTATATTGAATCATATGTGACATGATTGAATTCATAGATTACATATTTATATTTATGAGAAATGCATCATTATTATGTTTATGCCTCACTAAGTCTATGACTTAGCGTGTAAGTGATTTATACGTAGGTACTGAGAAGCAGGAGGATCAAAGCTAAGTTCAAAGTAACAACATATCTCTGCTCAAAGATCAGATCAGAAGTAAATTACACCGTATGTATTATTATGTGATAAATAGGTTGGCATGTAAGCAAAGTCTTTAAATTAAGTATGTGTGCTCTGATCGAGTTTTCTAATGTTTTAAACATATTTATGTAAAGGGTAACTGTATAGCAATGGAAGGTTAAATTTTTATGAGTTTTACGGAAGTTACTGTATCAGTATTGTAGCAGTGCATCAGTACACTGTAGTAGTGCATCGATACACAATTTATATTCGATGTTTTTGTGCATCGGTACACTGTAGCACTGTTCAAGGGTACTGTTCACAGCATTGTTCATTATTGTTCACGGTACTGTTCATATCGTATAGTATTTGTTCATTAATACGTTTTTACCTTAAATTTTTATAACAAACATAATTCAACGGTATATTATTGTATTTTCTTAATATGAGTTCAAATGTTTTGTTATTTTGTAAGAACATCGTTTTAAAAAGTCAATGTGACATCTCGGACTCGTATCCGGGTCGAGTACGAGTTGAGGTGTTACAAATAGACTAAATTGAAAATATATGAAATTTATTTTGAAAAAAGAAAAATTAAAGTTACATCGATATTCTATGATAGTTTAGGAGTATGAAGTTCAAATTTGTAAACAGTTACAATAAAACGACCAAATTGAATAAAATACAAAGTTAATGGCCTAAATTAAAATATATGAAATTTATTAAAAATAATTCAAGTTACATAGATATCTATGATAGTTTATGTGATTCAAATTGGATTTGGATTAATGCAATAATTTGAGTTTTTAAGCTAAATATGTAAAAACATATTAACCAAAAATGACATATTAATGTAGTAAATGAATTGTTATTATTTATTGAGGTCCCGAATTCGAGCATTACGAATATCAAAGTATAAGCGTTCAATGTCAAATGATTGAGAGGTATATTTGAACATATATTATCTTGTATTTATTCCAAATTAATAAAAAAAAACTATGACATAAATAAAAATGTCAATGTTTATTATTTTTTTAAAGATTATTATTTAGTATACTAATAATAAGAAAAAGGTTTTACAAATATATTTTTTAAAATATAAAAATTAATTAAATATTTGTTAATATTTTATTTTCATTTTATTCTTAATCCACATTAAATTCTAAATTTAATCAAATGTTGTCAAAATCGGACCGGCCGGTTCGACCGGTTGCCTGTCCGATCAGATCAGCCTCCAAAACCAGTTTTACCATGAACCGGTAGAACCGGTTGGGAATCGGCAAAACCGGTGTGAACCGTCGGTTCTGTTTTTTTTTAAATTAAACCAAACGACGTCGTTTTTTATGATTTTTTTTCAGTCCTAAATTTATTTTCTGATTTTAGTTATATAATTATATTTATTATTTAATATGTTTTACACTTTTACTTTTAATTGTTAAGTATTGTTTGAGAATCTAAATTTAACTTTATATTTATTTATCATATTGCTAGGTGATGAAGATCTTGATGTTGTGGACTTTCAAGTTCAAAGTGATGCTATGGAGTTTCAAGTTCAAAGTAGTGATAGTGGTGGTAGTTCAACCAATGAATAAGCTTTTCCCAATATTTTGGAATTTGAGGGAATCAAGTTCAATGAATATTATGATGATTAATACTTGTTTTAATTATGTATTTTTTTATTTAGTTGTTGATGAATTTCATTAGGTATTGACCTTAAATATCATGTTGTAGTTGATTTGAATAATTTTGTTTCACTTGATATTATGGTATTTAACTTACATATGTTATGACTTGTGATATTTTTATACCTTTTAATATTGTGAACTTAAAAAGAGTGTTATATATATATATATATATTAATATTGCTTTGAATATTATGTAAATTTTTTTAAAAATATATTATTTTATATAAACCGGTTCAAACACGGTTTAACCTGGTTAAACCAGTGAACCAGTATCTTCACTGGTTTAAGGTCTAATCCGGTTTTAAAAACATTGTTTTAATCCCGCATCTCTTAACAATAACCATTCGACCAATAGAATTGGAGTTTCACAACATTTTAACACTTTTATTCTAAAATAGGCGTAATACTAAAATTAACACTTAATATTTAACCAAACGATCATTTTAGCCCATAGTCCTTTTTAAGTATTTTACCTCTTAACGTTTCAAATTTTAATCAAAATAATCTATACTTGATAGAAACCGGTAGTTGACTTACAGTCGATGGCTCAATGCATGCTACTGACGTTAGTAACATGCGTTGATAATTAGTTAATTAACGACTTTTATCCAATACAAGTCATTTTAACCAAAAATTAAAATATTGAAACTAAAATACTGTAAAAATATGGATTAAAGTGAACATTTAAATAAATGTTGGATTAATTTTAACATTATACTAAAAGAATATTTTATCCAATTTTCAACTTGAATGAACTTTCATTTTATCTATTTTAAAAATGCAAACACAAGGAACTCTGATTTGGGAAAGATGTTTCTGTTTAAAGTATTAAATTCGAGTAATTATGTCGGTATAATGTATACGTTATCGATAAAAAATTTTATAAATAAATATTATTTTATAATAAAAAAGCAAACAAAAAGAACTTGTATAGTATCTTAACTCTGTTTCCTCGTGTGTTACTTATAATATCTGTTCGTATAAGTCCAACAACAGAAACTTCCAATGGCCAAAGCTGATGCCGAACAGTTCTGCCAATGGAGCGCGTGGCTCAAATGTACTCATCTTCCCCTTGAATAATGACCACCAATCACAACAAAAAGCATCGCCGTTCCCTTTGGAGCTTACAAATTTCCTTTAATTTCCACCGCACTACCAAACACAAACCCCATCACTCCCCTCTTTTAATACTCTTATAGCATGTTTACCCCCCAATGTGGGACGAAACCAACTTCAACAAAGCACCAACACTAGGCCTAAACAAAGTCTCTGCTGCCTCTTCTTCCCATCTCTGCAACCAAACCCATCGACCCAAAATCATGGAAGAAGTGTGGAACGACATCAACCTTGCTTCTTTACACGACCACTCTTCTAGGGAAGCGTTCTCGGTTAACTCCAATCCTCACATTGCCCTCCAGGATTTTCTCGCCAGGCCTCTTACCAATGACCCTCCGACTAATAGGGCCAACAGCATGCTGTATGGTTGTCCTCGGCCACCTCCCGCCACTGTTTTGAGCCTGAATTCGGATCCCGGCTTCGATTTCCTCGATAACGTGGATCCTCTCAAGTCCACCTCGCGTTTGCAAACTAGCCCCATCTCGACTGTCCACACTTTCAATTGTCCGTTCGAGGCTTTGGCTCATTCTTCTAGCTTGGCCTCCTTTGGTAAAAGGGTCCAGGAAGCTGATAACAGTAACAGTGATCGACGGCACAAACGGATGATCAAGAACCGAGAGTCCGCTGCACGATCAAGAGCTAGGAAACAGGTTTTCATTACCCCAAAAACTGATATATTTTCCACTATATGCAGCACTATGTAAATTCCTTCTTTTTTTCTTGCAGGCTTACACAACTGAGTTAGAGCTGGAAGTTGCTCATCTTATGGAAGAGAATGCAAAACTCAGGAAACAGCAAGAACAGGTAAAAAATAACTTAAAGCAAATTTGACTTCATTATCCTGACAGACCAGCCCAATGAAAGAACCCCATTCATGCTATGCAGTTACGCGTAACAGCTGCCTCTCAATTTTCCAGAAAGCACACGCTTCAGCGAACGTCAACAGCTCCATTTTGAGCAAACTATAAATCTCTGCCTTCTCTTTTAACCAGATCCCCTCTTTTTCAGCAGCCAGGGGGGAGGGGATATCCTTTAAGCTAGAAAAGGAAACGAGTACAGTGTTTTTTGGGGGAGCAAAGGAAGGGCTATGTGTGGGTGAAGGGTAATTGTTTACTGCTAACCAGTGCAAAAACAAGTATATTTTGGGTAACAAGTAAGAGGTGTTGGGGGATCTTTGTTTTTGTTTTTTGCATTTCCCTGATATGAATATGGAGTTTGATGTGGTGGGTCTTTGTTTGTTTCCCCACTTGGGTTGTTTCTTTTTCCTAAAAGACTGTTCAACTTTTGTTCATCAAGTCCTTTTCTCATGCAAATCCTCCTACTAATTTCTTTGTTTAAAGTTATTGATGCAAAGATGGATCAACTTGGTATTTGATATTATTTATGGTAAAGTACCAACAGTCAGATTAAAAAAAGCAATTAAGGGATCTAACCAAAAGATAATACTACTACTAATAGCAAATACTATGCGTTTGTGACCACTGACTCGCTCCTATTCCCTTATCTCGTGACTACTTTTTATCGTCTCAGCTTTACCCAAATAAGATGCCTTCAGGTATAATAGTTGAGGATTGTTACTCCCTTTGTGAACTGTCTATTGGTTGATGTTATCGTACTCTGCTTTTTAGTGACAATATCTTGGGCCTTCAAATGCCAAGATATGGTACCCCATATCCTATATATTGTGTCCATTGCTAATACAAAATATCAAATATTTTTACTCCCATCATCTCTCATTCCTTTTTTTTTTTCACCTCTAAGCTTTAGACGCATATTGTATTAGTTTTAGTGACACTTGCTATATATATTGATATTATAACTTTGAAAGCGTTGAAAAAGCTCTGCAAAGTACTTAAAAAGTGTCGATAAAGGAAAGGGATAAATAATAAGTTCAACTATGATAACGACAACAAAATTCAAATTTTATTACGAGGGCATAAGCAAGTCCGAAATCTTTTACAACAAAAGTAAAGCGAGAGGTGGTCCACGCTGCTTCTTATAGACAACAACCATCGAGTCTCTGTGTCAAACGTCTTATATAGTAAAGTGATATGATACGATCCCAAGAGTTAAAACAACGTGCCATTACACCACGCTAAACACAAGATTCTACACATTAAAAATTTTGAGCCATTCAATATGTAATAATATGACGTTTTTCGAGAGTAGTATGTACACATTCGTTTTCGCCGGATAATTTAATTATTATTATATAATTTTAAATTTAAATTTAAATTTTAATGTTTAGTTTTTATTATTTTGCAGGACTTTTTACAAGTCCAAATCGAGCCCCAATTACAAAGCCAACCGACCAAACAGAAACCTAGACCTGGGCCCAAACAGATCCAAAATTGGGCCCAATTACAAAACCCTAATAGCTCATTATGTTATAACTTTGACTAATCCTAATTTTAGGGTTAACCACCTACCGCTGTCGTCACTCAGAAGAGGAAGAGCCCGCCGCCGCCGTCGAAGAGCCCAATCAAGAAGCAAGTCGAGCCAAGTCAGATTTTAACGAAATCCTCACCAACTCTCTACCATCAGCCATACCTCTCTGCCACACAGGTCAATCATCAACAACCATCAACAATAGGTTTTAGAAGATATTTTATTTGTTTTAATCTCTGTAAATTTGGGTATAAAGCTTGAATTTGTTGTAAGAAAAAAGGATCCCCTTTTCATTTTTTAGAAGCAATACACAAAAATCTTAAGGTATTTTTTCTTCCCTTATTTTCAGTTTTTAATAATAAAAAAAACTAAGCATAGTTACGTAAAAAACGAAGGAATAAGAAGATATCTAGAGAGTTACCTGAGAGAGGAGATGACCCGTACGACCAGTTCATCTTCACGGTCAGGGAAGGCGAGAAACTGAAACGTTGAAGAGTTTTTGGGCTCTTTAGGGGGTATTTTTAGGTGATTTCATCCTTAGATCTAGGCTTAGGATGATAGATCAGAGTGAAGGGCTTATTTTAGGGTTGGTTTAGGGGTTTCAATCGCCATGCGTGGCGGCCAGAACGGTGGCTGAAGTGGTGGTGTGAGGTGACCGACAATGGTCGACCGATAGAAAGAAGAGAGTGGAGAGAATTTTTAAGTTTTTTTTTGTTTTTTCGGTGGAAATGAAAAAAAATAGAAAATTGGGTTTTATAGGGGAAGTTTAGGGTAAAATCACACATAGGTCCACTATAATTTAGCGCGTTTTTGCATATTGGTCACCTGCGAGGACCAAAGTTTTTATTTATCCTTTTTCATGATATATATTTTTGGGATATTTGATATTTAGTCCCCCATAGTTTAGCGTGTTTTTGCATATTGGTCACCTGTAGGGACCAAAATTATTATTTAACCTTTTTTTCTTGCATGTTATGTGTTTATTGGGATATTTTCTGTTTAGTCCACCCTATTTAAGCGTGTTTTTGCAGTTTGGTCATGTGTAGTGATTATTTAATTTAATTTAATTTTATTATTTCTGGACTGATTTAGTAATTTATGCATTTTTCTTTAAAAGTATGTTTTAGGCTTGTAAAAAAGGAATAATCATTAAATAGTCCCTGTAGTTTCAACATGTTTTATATGTTGGTCTCTGATCTTTTTTATTTAATTTAATTAACCATGTACTTTTATTTTATTTTAATTTGGTCCCCATATCTTATTTATTTTTATTCATTATAATTTTAGCACTTAATGTTAAATATGTTCATTTTGGTCACTTTTGCACTTTATTTTATTTTAATTTTGCATGATGCTTTTATGTTATTTTATTTTAGTTACTGATGAGTTATGTTATCTCTATTTTAAATTAATTTGCATTATACACTCATAAGCATTTCTTGACTCGAATCAAAATAATTTGACTAAGGGTAATATTCGTTCATTTTAAGATTGTCGTAAAGTAATTGTCTTAACGTATAAGAAAGTTACTTTCGATAATTTTAAAATGAAAGTTTATCCCATTAAGTGACATGAATTAAATTGATTCCATTTTAAAATTTAGGGATTAAGGAAAAGATCATGTTTTTAATTAAGTTCATCGAGAAAAGACTGTTAGATTGAATCTAAGGTCTCGTCTCGATATATTTAAATAATTGAACATCCTTATTCTCATTAAAGGTTGGTAAAATACATAATTAATTGTACTTGCTTGATGTATGTTTCATGTATTTTCAATGGGATTTCAAAATAAATAACACTCATATTAATATTGAATTTTAGGATGAAAGAGTAATATCACTTTATTTTGACTAGGGTAATAAATGAATGCTTTAAGGCATGAGAGGTTATTTATTTTCGATTGGAAATAATCAGATATTATCGTTTTTCCCTCTTAAAATTCAAAGAATATGTTTTAAAAAGAAAAAAAAGGTCTTAGAGTTATTTTGTTTTATTGTATTGTTATTTATACGCTTAATTTTTTTAATTAATAACGAGCTTTAGAATGAAATTGTAATATTTCTTTATTTATGTTGGAGTAAGAATCAACTGCTTTAAGGCATGAGAGGTCGATTCTTCTCGATAGGAAGTAATTAAATATTATTATGTTTTGTTCTAAAATTCAAATAATATTATTTGTATGGGATCTTAAATTAAATTAAACTCAAACTCGTAAATTTCATTGCAAAGACAACTAATTAATCGACTAGGTATCGATTTATGGTGTTGTGGGGGTGCTAATCCTTCCCCGCACGTAACCGACTCCCGAACTCAAATTTTGGTAACGTAAACAATAAATTTGTTGTTTTAATTAAAATTAATATTTTTCTTAAAATAACAAATATGTTTTTGGGTGCCCAACCACACTCCAATCAAAGATTGATGGCGACTCATTGAATCACGTTTTATTAATAACAAGTCACCAAATTATTCGAGACGATATCTTTTAAAAACCAGATTTTAAAATTTAAATTTTATTTTTTTAAGAAAAATCGTTTCGACCAGTCCATTAAAGTTTTGTAATACTTAGATGACCAAGTCGCAGATAATGCCATTGTATAGTGTTTCCTTAATTAAGGGAGGACAAATGTTGTACCATGTTAAAGATCCCCCGCACATACTAATCCCATGTCTTACGATCACCGGATGATCCCATAGCACCTCTAAATCTCCAACACTCCGATACTTTGATAGATTTATAGAGACCATCTATGAAAGAAGAATTTTAAATATCTAGCATCCCTCAAGAAGTTGCAACTAGTAAACATGAATTTGACAAGCTTACATGACCTACTAGAACCAAATCCACCACCCTGACTGTATACACTTAGTCTGCTAATTCATATGTGCACTAAAGACCTCTATAAAATATCTCAAGCAAGGCCAAGAGATATGATGTGATCTCAATGAAACCACCTCACCTTAACTCTTCTCTACTATACCTAAACTTTATGAAAATAGAAGATTCCAACACCGATCAACGATTGACCTATCACCGGTTGTGACTTTTCGCCTAAATTGAAAGGAATGAACCGTCGCAAATCATTTAGTCTCATTAAAAAATTTAAATTAATAATACTATTCTAAACAGATTGAAATGATAGAAATATGTAATCTAATATTCTACTGTTTGTGGATGAATTTGTAAAATTGATATAATTTAAACCTAATGTGATATTATAATAATAATGGTATTTATAAAGGCATAAATATTTATTAATAATTTACACAAAATTTGACAAGAGATAAAATCCATAACTATTATTTTACCCTCCATAATTTATTTTATTATGATTTCTTAATTATCACGTTATCTATTATTTACCAAAATATTATTAACATGTCAATGCAATATTTTTTTGTTTTTATTAATAGATTAATAATTCAATAATTTTTTTATTAATTTAAATTGTTAACTTATAATTATTTAACGTATTGGTTGTGAATTAATATGTAAGTTGAAATAATTTCAAAACTTTAAAGTAAAATTATAATATTGAGCTACTATATATATATATATATATATATATATATATATATATATATATATATATGAAAGTTATTTTATTTTTTATTAATA